AAAGGTGGATGTTATTTTCAAAGCAGGAATATGACTTTGCATGCTTGTACGTTTATGTGCACCTTGTAGCGGTACGAGATGAACATGTGCTGCGTCATGTAGTGAATATGTTAACTCAGGGCGGGAAAGATAAAGTTTGATTTTATTTTGTCAATAGGAGCTGGTTCAATTCTTGCCAAAATATTGATGACTTTATTTTTTTTTTATCATGCTTAACCCTCCAATGCATGACTTAAAATTTTTTTGTGATTTTGAAATATTTTATTTAGCATAGTTTCAAAACATCAAAAAAGCCAATTAAAATGAAATTTAAAAAAAATAAAGTAAGTTATGATCAAAAAACAAAGTGTTCCTAAAAAGGTACGTTATGAGTTAATACTCATGGTAAATCATTTCCTGTGAAAATGTTCAAAGCATTCCAAGTGTAGAGCAACATCACATTTTAAACATTTCTTTGATACTTTCTTGTGGCACAATTTACATCTTTTTCGTCCATCCGAAATTTTTCCAATGAAATGGTCTTTTCCATCAAATTTTATTTCATTTTCAACGTTACGGTTTACTGATTTTCTTTTCAGATCTTCTGGTTGGTTTTGCCCAAATATAGTTTTGGCAACAATTTTCCTGAACCCAGCATAAGTGTGATTTTCATGCTTTGAGTATTTTTTGGAAATGCACCAAGCATTATGAATGCTAGAATCCAAAGCGAAAGCAAAAAGCGGCCACCACCATTTTTTAATCCGAATATTGGTGCGCAAATTTTCAATGTTTTGATCCATCCTGTCAGTTCCACCCATATATTTATTATATTGATTTATTATATATGGCTGGGATATTAAAACATGCTTCTTGTTTGCTGAAGACCATCTTTTCACTTCCTTCATTGGTTCCAGCCCATTGCAGCTTGACAAGATAGAAACCACACTATTGTCATTCCATCTAACCGCAATAATATTCGAATCACTATCTGTAAAATAGTCAGATGTGCCTCTAGGTAATTTTTTCATTTCTTTTATATCCATCAATGGACATTTCTCTATTCGGTTAATTCTAACTGTACCGGTTGCATAAATATGATTTTCTTTTAGTCGTTCAATTAATTTGAACGCAGTGAAAAAATTGTCAAAAAATAAATGATATCTCTTATCATCAGGAAGGCATGATGTCAGTTTTTTAACTACTGATCCACCGAGTCCTAAATCTAGATCATAATCTTCAGTGGCTCCTTGATAGGGTTCACAACTCACTAAATAACCGAGACGATTATTCATGCACCAAATTTTGAATCCGAATCGGATAGGTTTACCTCTTATAAATTGCTTAGAGGAATGCCTACCAAAATATGGTATCATGGACTTGTCAATTGATAAACAAGTTTCTTCTGGCCAATATTTTAAAAATCTTTCATTTAACATATTAAACAGAGGTCGAACTTTGGCAATTTTATCTTTTTTGTCAATTTTTTCGTTATCGCATGTGTGTAAATATCTGAGAAGTTCCTCGAACCTATTCACACTGATGGCATTACTCACTGCTAAATTATGAACATCATTGCTTTGTTCCCAATACATTCGTCGATTTGGCAGAGGAGCATAACCCGATAAGAGCAAAACCGCTAATGTCACTTTATATTCTTCTTCAGTGGCATTCAACTGCTTCAACTTCTGACTAGCATATAAATTAGACATGTCAGTGATGAATTTGATTATTTCATCATCAAAAAATAATTTAAACAGAGTGTGAGGAGATGAATTCTCAAATTCTCTATTTTCAGAAAACACTGGTATGGGTTCTACATTCAAAATGTCACTCTTCTTCCAATTTCTTTCAATTGATATACTTTTTTTCACTCTTTTTTTTAATGGTGTTTGTATTTGCATATCAATTTCTTCTTTCTGAAGCATTTCTTTGCCTGCCTCAATGTTGGAAATTAATGCTTCAGCATTTGAATTCAATAAAGTTTTTGATAAATTGTCAATAATTCCTTCCCCATCCTCAGGACCACTATCTTGATCTGAACAGTTGGGATCATCAGGTGGTAGCATAATGATATCTGATGAAAAAAAATCTTTTTCATCTTCTAACATGCTAACAACATCATGGAGTGAATATCTGTAATTAGTAAATTTACCATTCAATGCACTGCATAGTGTCCCGAAAAAGGAACAGTCATAATTTTAGTGTTTATAAAAAAACTACAAGATGTTCTATCATCAATTTCACGTAATTAACTAAATAAATAATAATGCAATTTAAAATTTTTAAAAGTTTCAGGAAAAAATTTAATCAAAATTGTTTATTACCTTTTTTGATTAGACATGTCAAAAAATCGAAATTTTCAGTATCGCTGACTTTAAACATAAAAAACTTCAACAAATTTTCTGATGAAACAAAAAGGTAAACAAATTAGTGAAGATGGGTGATTTATAGAGATGTGCTATAAAAAAAAACTCAAATAAGACAAAGACTAATTTGATAATGAATTTAAAAGAGCTGTTCCTAAAAAGACCCACTATGCATTGGTGGGTTAAAAAAATAAAAATTTTAGTAATGAACACAAGATACTTGACAATGAATGATTTACGATTTTTCTAACTGTAGATCGAAAATCATTGTCAAGTTTTTTATGTTCAAAACCAAAATTCTTATTTATTTAAGCATGATAGAACATTTTAGCATGACAGAACAAAAAAGCTTTTGTCGGTATTCCTATACCATCTTCAGTGTCGAACATATGCAACATAAACAGTAAAGATTTAAAGTCTAACCAAAAGCCTGAAGCAAACAAGCTAAAAGCAGTGAATAGAACGCCTTGATTGTCAGCTAAGCAGTGAACAATCGGGAAAATTTTCCTGTTTTCGCTTTCTCATTCGTGATGGCAGAGTTTGATTGAGTCGAAAGTTCGCACGCGAGTCATCTTCATTTTAAGGTTTTTATTAATATTTGAAAATAATTCTTATTACTTTCACAACTCTTTTATAGACCCTGACAATCGAAATAATCGAATGGTTGACAAATACGGATCGGGTGTTGTTCCTAACTGGAGAGACGATCCGGATATGTCCGAGAGTTAGTCTTTTTTACGATTATACTTAATATTCTTAAATGTTAATGAACCGTTTTATTTTTATGAAATGCATACAATTTTAAATCTAGAACATAAAAAAAATAAAAGTGATCTTTACCAAATATATCTCCCTTTTTATTAAAATATTATTTAATAACGCCGTAAAGAAATTTGTTCTCTTAAAAACTAATAATTTTTAACTTAACGCTGTATTGTTCTTTTCCTACCCATACTTCTGGTAACACTATTGATTTTATTATAGCTTCATCTTTTTCTAAGCCTGTTAATATCTCTGCTAGCCCTGTTCCTTATTTTGATCACCTTCTTATTGAATCTGTATTTTCTTTAGATTTTCTTCCTTCTAATTCATCTATGTCTATTTCTAAAAGATGTTGGTCTTCTCTTAATAAAGATATTTTTCTTCAATCTCTTACTGAAACTATTTTTGATACTACCTTATTTTCTGATGCAGATGATTTTGTCCATGCTTTTAATATCTGCATTACTTCTATTCTTGATAAGCTTATTCCTCTTAAATCTTTTGCTTATAGGCTCTATTCTCGTAAGGCTCCTTGGTTAGACTATCTTTGTGTAATAGCTAAGAAAAGTGTTAGAGGACTAAAGAAAGCCTATTGGTTAAATCCATTTAACTCTCTTTATTCTATCTATGAATCTGAATTAATTAATTATAAATATTTTCTATTCTCTAAACACTCTACTTTTCTTAGAAAAACTGTAACATCTGCTTCAGCATCTAAAAATAGGTGGTATGTTATATCTAAACTTCTTCATAGGAAATCCTCTCACTCATCTTTCTCTGCTTAGCAGTTTTATGTTTTTTTTTTTTTGTAAATAAAATTACTTCTTTAAAAACATCTAATTCTAATTTTTCTTCTTATAACTTTAATAAATTTACTACTGAATCTTTTTCTATATTTACTCCAATAAATCTTCTACAACTTACTAAACTTATTAATTCTATGTCATCTCCAACTTGTTTTCTAGATCTATTTCCTTTTAATTTACGTAAAGAAATTTATTCAAGATTTTATCCTATCATTCACATATTAGTTAATTTATCTCCTCCCACCTCCAAATTTCCTATTTTTTATAAAAATTCTATTGTTATTCCTATTCTTAAAAACTGATCCTTAGATCGTACCTTTTTATCTAATTATAGACACGTTACTAATATTTCTTTCATATCATAAATAATAGAAAAAGTAGTTTATAACCAATTGTCATCTTATTTAAACTTTTGTCTTTTCTTGATGATCCTACTCTTCTCCTTCTTGCTACTTCGTTAGTCTTATCTAGGATTGATTATTGTAACTCGCTCTACTATGGTTTTCCTGATTCTACACTCTATCCTTTAAGTAAAGCTTTTAACTCTGTTGCTCGTCTAGTTGCTCGTGCCTCTTTCTTTACTCATATATCTCCATATCTTGTTTTCTTGCACTGGCTACCTATAAAATATAGAATAATTTTTAAAATTTGCACATTTATGTATAAGTTTCAATCTAAATTATTTCCTAAGTACTTATCAGATATATTAATTAAACCTAAACGCCCCGGTTTACGATCGTCTCTTTTTTTCACTTCTTCTTAACTCGTCTTAAACACTTTTTTGATAAATCTGCTTTTGCTTGTTCTGGTCCTTTTCTCTGGAACTCTCTACCTACTTCTCTGACAACTTATCTATCGCTTACAAAGTTCAGAACGGATCTTAAGACCCGCCTGTTTGCAAAGTTCATTGAGGAGCGCTGTTGAACATCACGGAAATAGCGCTTTATAAGCTAATTGATTGATTGATTAATTGATTGGTTGAATAAAAAACAAAACAGGATACAATCGGAAAGAACTGCGAAAGTTGATGAACCTGGCGATAGACTATTCACATCTAGACGAATGGAGATATGCGCCATGTGAATACCTTTATCGCAACAAAACTAGAAAACATTTCAAAAACGTGAAGCGACATTACGACAACAAATTGATCCCCTGTTTGAAAGATCGGTCAGGAGATCAGAGATCACCAATCAACGGAAAACTGTACGGCCTTTGTTTTACGGCCAGTGTTCGGCCCTGGAGCATGACTGGCGAACCACTTCCCAAATCTCCATTTGGAAACACCCGTTTGATGCTTCCCGTGGAATATTTACTTGAAGAGGACACCAATCTATATTTTGCGGATTTTTACTGCTTGTACGGTGATCATCATTACGTCACTTTAGTTGTGACTGGGAGATTTTCTGAAGCAGATAAATTTTGTTGGAGACACTTAATAAAATTGGACATTACAGACAACCCGTTTCTGTTTTACGATTCTTACTATGAAGAATTTAACGTCATAGATGTGAAATATTTGATTGTAGAAGTCGTATACACTCATGAGGTTAGTTGTTACTTTTCGTTTCTATTCAAGTTTTTTTTCCAATTTTTCAAATGAAAATGTTGTTGTATATTTTTTTCTAACCATACTGTCACCTCTAAACATTCTTTTTGTAAGATTTCACTGAATGACGCGTTTTCAAATGGTGGCTACATGATATATGACGTTCCAACGATTGGCAAGGGTTATGTCACTGATGGTGGCATTCCGAAAGATGAAGATTGTTCCTTCTGTAATATCTATCTGTAACTCTGTAACAGATAACAGCAGTCAGCGTTATTGAATAAATAAAATAGTGACGTTATAATATAAAATTAATCAACTTGAACGCTAAAAATATGGCTCTACTAACTCATTGGCTGCATGGTTAGAATGAATGTTTGGTTCATTGGAAATCTGTAAGATTCCATAAAAATTTTAAATAGAAGTTTTTTTTCATTTTTTCACTTGAAACTTATTATATTAACCCATTCGTGTACTAGTATATACCATGGTTACTTTTTAACATGGGTTTCGATCACAATTTTTTGATAGCAACTGAACAATAAGCTGAACAATGTTTTCTCAATATTAAATTTTAACTTTTTTAATATCGACTTTTATGAAGTGCATAGGCCTTAAATGTACTTTTTCCAACTTCAATGTCACTGAAAGTTTATATTTCAAAACATCAACAGATATTGTGTGTTAGTGTCTTATTGTTTTCAGGTTTTATCAACTAATAAATCTTTAGAAGGAAGAATTCAAATATTTTTTTCGCGATGCTGTTGAATGTTTTTTCTTAAATTTCTTCAATTTCTACAAGGTCGATGCTAATTTTTGTGGCATATATCTTATCTCGTGTTCTCCTATTGAAACTGATTCAAATTTGGTTTCATTTCACGATTTACCTGGATTTATCAGGTTTCATCTTGGTTATGCTATTTCCACTTGTTCGGCTATTACATATTCTCTGTTAAAATATATTGTATCTATATATAACCTATATTTACTTATACCTCCTAACTTAAAATATTATCTATACAATAATATATTCAGAATGTTTTCAAAATAACTTGGTTTAATAATATTATAATATATAGCAAATTTTCAAATGAACATAATTAACAGAAATACAACGTTAACATGCGTAAAAACGCGCTTTTAAAAATTAAAATACCGTCATTATTATAAATGTGAGATGTTAAAAAAACACGAACATGTAAATAATAAAAGCCACGCCATAAAGTTCGCTAAAACATAACACGTCATTAATCGTTTAAAAAAATCTCAAAAATTTTGCAGATTTGATTGAGTCTAGTTTTAAAATGAAGGACGATACGAAAGTGGTAAGCCGTTACAAAGTTCAAAGGTGCTTACCAGTCTGAAAAATGTTCGATGCGGTAAACGCGGCCTGTCATAACAGATAATGAACATGCAATAAAACAATTATTCTGGATATCAAAAATATGAAACATCAAAAGAGAAAATAATTTTAAAGAATCTTTGAAGAATTACAAACTCGTTTAAAAATTGGCTAATCATTTAATTACTGTAGTAATTACCATAGAAAAAACACCAATCAAGTTTTCTTCTTCCACCTTGTTGAACTCTTCATTGACAAACAGTTAAAGCAGCTCAATGTTTATTGGCTATGGACGTGAGATCAAATAAGAGGCCAGTTTAATTGGATAATTGAGTTTAATTGTTCACGCGTAAGAAAAACGTTAATCGGTCAAATCAAACAAACGTAACGGGGTGTAACAACTCTTTGAAGTTTGCTGGTTGTTGCAATTAAATGTTCCAAAAAAAACTTTAATGTGCATACATCTAATTTTATCAATTTTTTAATTGCATCAATTAAAATTGGAACTCGAAGATGTATATAAGGTTCCGTTCAGCTCAAATGTTCGTTAACAGTTGCTCATTGAACTTAAGAATTCTTCCAAGGAGTCAGTTTCACTCAAGTACACATTAACATTTTTTATATTCTGAAATTTTTCTAATTCTCTATTATTGAGCATCAAAAATGGCTGATGATCACAACTATTTGTATTATAACAAATTTTGTGACGACGATGACGATAACCAAGCTTTGATGCAACATCAACAACGTCAACAACATTACCAATCACACCAACAACCACAGCATCACCAACAACGACATCAACAACAACACCATCTTCAACCGCATCAACTCCAACGAAGACATCAGTTACTTCAGCAACATTCAACAGTTGTTGACAAAACTTTACCACACACACATAACACGCAACAACGAATGAGCACTAGTTACAATGAAAACGCAACAATGCCTGTAAATTACAACCTGCCAACCCAGCACAGCAACATGCAGCCACGAAACTGGCCACAACTTGCACCTGATGACCAGCTGCCAATATATGGAGCCACAAGTAGCAGCAACAGCAGATACAATTTTGGCTACGATGACAGTTTCCAGAGCGACGTGCACAACGATGCATTCCTGAGATACAACTTCAACGATGATGTTGGAACTTCATATGATTCAATCAGCGATAAAACTTCAGACAACCCAGCATGTGACAACAACTTCATTCATGCGGGCAACATGTTGAACATAAACAGCAACCTCAACTCACGCAACAACAACTACAGCCTACAAAACAACAACTTCAACACATACAACCACTTAACTAGTTGCTACAATCCATTCAACACGCAAACAACTGGTTCATCAACTGCATGGATCGACAGATCTGTACGTAACAGAGCAACATTCCAACAACAACAACAACATTTTTCAACACAGCATCATCATCAACTTCAACATCATCCGGTGTCTCAGGCAGGTACACGATCGAACCCCCAGCATAACTTGACCACTGACTATCAGCCACTCGACAACGACAATGACAACATTTACATGCTCCCACCTCCCAACACGATGCATGGTCACCTCTCTTTCACACCTTTAACCTCCTTCAACACGCCATCCTCCTTCAACTGCTCAGATGCCAACTTGACTGCGAACAAACCAGTGGCTCCAAACGCGTCAACAGCAACACAATCAACATCAGCACCTCCAACACAATCATCATCTTCACAGCCATCATCATCCTCATCTGAAAATGCTTCATCGTCAGCCTCATCGTCAGCCTCGTCATCATCAAAAAATGAAACATCAGCATCGTCAACAACATCATCCAAACGTTTCTACAACTGCCCCGAATGCAAGCGAGTCTTCCGCTACAGAGCCTGTCTGATAAGTCACACGAAGACGCATATCAACCAGCGACCACACATTTGTGTCCAGTGCAACAGAGCCTTCAAGGACTCCTCTGCTCTCAACAAGCATCAGCGGATTCATTCGGGTTCGAAACCCTACACGTGCCCGCTGTGTGCTCGCGCCTTCAGTCAGTCCACCAACCTCAACAGACATTTGAAAACTGTTCACAAGATAAAGAAGTCAGCCAAATGAGAGGCCGATGTGCTCGTCTGTCTTCTCCTATTTTCTGTACATACTGTAAATTCGTTTCGTGCTTTCATCTTGTTGTCTATGTATATAAATGTAAATATTTATGTTTATTATAAATGAAAAAGCATCATTTGAAAAACATTTGAAAACAAATAAAGACAAAAAAAGTTTTGGATGTAAATTTTTATTTATATTATCATTATTATTTTGAATTATTTATAACGTTTAAAATTATTAATGTTGATATTGGTTTTATAATGAAAAAAATGTGTTCTTAAAAACCGTTAACCAATGGTATATATAGTATATTATATCCATGCTGCAAACTCTACAACATTCATTTGGCGTTTTTGATTTTATAAATGTGATTTATTTATAAACTGAAGGCACAAAAAAACCACAATAACATAGCAAAAAACGACAACAAATTAACATGGTGGTTTTTTGTGTTTTTAAACTTAATTAACATTGTTACAATTCGTCCTTGTTTTACTTTAAATACAATTTTATAAAATCTAGACACTTTTTTTCCAGGAATCATGATTGTGACGGTGGTTGCTTTTATAATTTTGGGTAACTTGTATTATTGTTATTTTTTATAAATGTGCCAATTGTTTCAATGTACCAACTGGCTGTAGTTACGATTTTTTGCCAAATCTTTGCGAGATATTAAGACTCACTAATACGTCTTTAACTGGACACGACAAGCATAGGAAGGAACAAAATTTTTTTATATTCACAGTCAGAGTAATGTGAGTCTGGAGGTCTTTACCCAAGACCTTGATAGCTGATCAGATTTAGCTTCCATAAATTTTTTTGATTTTATTTTGCATTTCTTCAACTGAAAAGCGTTTGTAAAACGGAGTTTAATAAGCAACCACTTTTTAGAATGTTCACATTTGATTAAACTTCGGTTTTATTTTCGACAAACGTCTCACGATTTTAAAACATGCTCATAGAGTCTCACTTCAAGAGTCTTACATCACCGATTCCTTCAAGTGCTATTAGCATACTATGAAATAATATTACACATGGTCATTAAAATGATTACTTTTAATTTCTGTAGATTTCTAATGTTATTTTATTTTTCAATCTTTTATAGAATCTCACGATTTTTAAGTTATGACCATACTAAATAGCCAGACTCATTCTTACAAATTCTACTTTTTCACTTGGTTTATTTTGTTCACTTTGCTTCCATTAATGCACTGTGGCCTATATTCCTGTTGCACTATTTTGCAAATGGCAATTTTAACTTTAAGGACTTCTGAGCCCAAACACCACCATGCGTGTATAAATTCATATCACGTCACAAACACAAAAGATCACTTAGTACAAAGAAAATTTTCTTAACGTCCCAACAGCTAAATCTCAACTCGCACGACAGGGTCTCCGTCATGACAAATTAAAAAAAAAGTTGAAATCTCAGTTCATATGTAAAAGGAGTGCGGATCTGTCTGAGGCAGCTATGTAAAATATTCGTACTAATTTTGTTTTAATGTAGTAATATTATTTTTTTATAATCATTAAGGAGGATAATATAAATAGTTTCCAATTAAACGTTTGATTGTCTTTTTCAATTTTTAAATGAGTTGTTGATTGCCACAGCAAATATTCTATTACCCTCTGCTTCATAATTTTGTTTTGCCCTAATGTTAGAAACAAGACAAATTTTTAGAAATTGGTTCAATCTTGAAAACTTCAAATCCATACTAAAGAATGTTTTTAAAAAGTTTTTCGATCGTAAGCTTAGTGTATAATGTAACTATTAAATTTTTATTTATTTAATTTACAAAAACCTTTAGCTAAAAGTTATTCTTTCCAATTTCTAGACAAACAAAAATTTTACCCTGAACCTCCACACAAACAAATATTATCTCAAAACTGACGTTAATTTTCTTCGGCTCAGGACGTTATTATTAATAATTGCACCTGTAATTCTTGAAATACTGATCTCTCGAGAAGCTCAAGAACAGGGTGTTTTTTTTTCTGTTTATCCAATTTAAATTCATTGAATGGTGACAGCAAAATTTCTTTTTCATCCTGATATTGGGAAAAACTGCTGATCTCAACGCCCATCAAATCCTTGGCTCCATTGACGTTGAATTGCAGACTAGTTCCTTCAGAGCCAGCTACATATGATATTAAAAAGAACAGTTTCTTTAAGAGCTAATTTATCCAAATAAATATTTAAATATTTAGAATCAAGCTCAATCATCCGAGTAAAAGTTTTTATTCCAGTAAAAATGTTACTAATGATTAGCTAACCAAATTTGTTTGCAACTGAGTTGTCAAGAGAGGTTGATGTTAACGTTCCGAAGAAAAAACTTCGGTCGCTTGGTAGACGATACGCATCCTGCAGACCTTCAAAACAATTATAATTAAGCCCTTTTTTTATCTCAAAAATATTTACAAATTTTTCACGAACGTGCAGTGCATATACTAACCTCTAAAAAGTAATTTTTCTTTCAACGGATGCATGGCTTTTTGCAGGAGAGAACTGAATACAGGATACTTGTTATATAGGCCTAAATATAGTTTCAACATTAAACAACTCAACAAGAAAACTTTTAACCGGAACCTCGAACCGATTTTTTCCAATCCGGTTTTCGGTTCCAGTATGAGACCCGTTTTTAAAATATATGGCCATATGGCTGTTTTGATATTACTTTGATATTAAATTCATTTTTAAATATACCTCGGAGAATTATTTGCATAACCATAAGAACAAAATTGTCAAAAACACTGGTGAAACAGTTTTGGAAATATTAAACCCATTATTCTCATTATTGAAAACGCCATCCATTGTTTTCATATAACTTTTTTGTTGCCGCTTGCAATTATTTTCTTATACCTACTTTGTTCATTAACAATCAAATCTCAAAACTAGCCAAAAAATAAATTAATAGCTGAAAACCGATAAAATGAAATATGGCCAAGTTAGACAAAGAAACCATTCTTAGTGTGAACTGTTGGCAATTATAAAAATTTAAAAAAGGCATATTTGCCAAAAATTCAAATGACAAAATTAAATGAACTATTAAAAAACAATGGCGCTGTTAAAAATTTAATGAAACCATTCCTGATATCAGAGTGTATTTTCTTGCGAAATTGGTGGTGAACATAGCCAGTGCGTATTGTCTTCCCGCTGAAATGCTCATCTGATTCTTTTTTTATATATAAAAATTGTTATCATATGAAAAATAAATTGAATTAATTTATGAAAAAGAACATTAAATTGAATTTTTGTTTTTTACCTGCTTTAGAATTTTATATTTGCAATATCATTTACCATAATTATTATTAACTATTATTATTATTTATCATTAATTATTATTTGATTTAGTTAATTGACTTCGAAATGATTTTAATTTTAAAGCTTTTACGTTCAAACAAACTAAGAAAATTTTGTGACTATAAATTTAAATTAACTATCAGTGATAATTATCAATTATAATTGATTAATCACGAAGTCAGCGTAGTTACGTTTGGTTCACTGTATTTCTTAACTGCAACGTTGTAAGCATCACACATAGTTTCAGACTGAAAAAAATTTATTGCATTACTTTTGAAATAAGAATAATCAAATTAAATGTGAAAATATAATTGAAAGTTAATAAAAATTCATCATAATTTTCAAGTTTCTTTTGTGTAACCTATGTACAAAATGTGTTTTCAAATTTTTAAAACTAAATCATTTTCAAACTTTTAAAACTAAATCAATATTTTTACTATGTCATCGACAGATAAATCTTAAATTTAATTAATAAACGGTTGTTAAATCTACAATAAAATATTTTCATATAAAAAATTTATACATTCCAAAAACCTCATCCCCATACGGGTCGTCGGAAACCGTGGAAACAATAAACAACGCATAAAAATGATGAAAATACAAGTTAAAAGGAGTGGAACGGTTTAAATGAATACAACAAACCCAAATAAACTTACCTCAAACGTTCAATTAATAATTTTTTAATCTGCTGCTATTTATAAAATGCATTGGTAGAAGGTGTGGCGCAGGCAGAAATTTGCTGTGGGGGAACTTAAAGAATTCAATTTTAAAAAATCTGGCGGCTTTTTAAAATTTTCAATTAAAAGCACTAGTTATATACAAAATGTTAGTTATTTTTTATTGTTGTTTTTACAATTTTATCTAGAGGTTTTATTTAATTCAATTTAGCTTTAACCCTAGCAAAATTTTCTATTTTAAGGACTTTTCAAAACTCTCCAAAGTTCAAGAACCATTTAAAATGTTTCTTGATTAATTTTTATTTAATTTCATTCAGCGCTATAAAAAGTGAATAATGGTTTATAAAACAACAAAAAAATAAATACGCAAAATATAAAAAAATTGTATAGAGGAATAAATTATAATCTTTAAGTCTACAATTTCATATGATGTTTCCTTCCTAGAGTTTTCAGCTGAACAAGATTCGGCTTTCAGTCGTGCCAGTTCATCATTTTGATCTCTAAACGTGGTTCCTTGGATCTTACAGAAACAATTCGCAAATGATTTAAAATTAGGATCGTCTCTCTTGTAAACGTCCATCAGTATTCCACTTGGTTTGGTCGTCGTCGTCTTCGTGTGCATAAACCATGCTTCCGCGGATTGAACTGAATAAAGCAGGAGGATGAGGAGTAATCTTCTCCACGATATACATCGCAAAAAATTTTATAAATTTGCTTCTACTGGACTGATGTAGTAACTTTAAGTTTGATCAGCAGCTATTAAGTGCAGTAGGATTTATTTTTAAGCTGAAAAAAAACCTTGAGAAGATACGAAAAACTGCATGAATGAACGGGATTGGCAGATTTCTTGTTTAAGAAGATGTTGATGATTTAAATGAATTGCTAATGAAAAAAATCAATAAGAGAAGAGGCATATTTCATTGCAATCTTAATGTCTGAATAAGCAGGTTTCATTATTATAGACTTCAGTGAATATTTTAAAATGATTGACGTTGTCATTTTCGTATTTCTTTCAAACTTTCATTAATAGTAATTTTATAATTGTTGAAAATTATTCAAGCTTTTAAAAGTAAAAAAAAATTTTATTAAACTTTTTTCATAAATTTTTAAATTAAATATATCTCAAAAATTATTTTTAAAACATTCGAGAAACTTTTTTTCAAAATTATCACATTCGATTTGCGACGTTGTTAAACAATGCTCTCAGCATGTTTCTTTCAAACTTTCATCAATATGTAGTAGCATTTATAATTGTTGAATATTTTTCAAACGAAAATTCAACTTCCCATCAGTGTGGTTACAATCAAAGCGATGTTGGAAACCAGTGGGGAAGAGGGGGTTTAGGGAGAGCCTGGAGGGAATATTTTTATTCAAACTCAGTTTTTAAACACAAATTTATTTATTATCACGTGCAGTTACTAGCTTGGAAATGTAATCGATAACGTTTCTATCGACAAGCGGCCGCGAAGCTATCTTATGCGGCCAGCGAGGCCTTGTTCGCCAATAAAGGTCGCCAGCCAGACATTATTTATTGCGGTTAAATTATGTATAGATGTGCTTATTGTTCAAGTGTTGTTTCATTGATCTAATTAAAGTACCTACAAATTGTTAGCAAATAAGTGATGTTTTATGGAGAATATTACCATAGCTTGTCCTTGTAATAAACGTCGTTTTTATTATTCGCTAGTAAAATGCCAGCTAATTAAACCGTTGATAAATCTGAGTAATGTAAAAGGAACTGATTCATTACGCTGAAAGGAAGTGAGGCGTTTATGATTTCTGAGACTTTTATTTCTTGGTAGAGCATTTAGTTCTTTTTCTATTTGATTCTTCGTCAGTGTTTGTTATTATTACTTTTGCTTATGATATAAATAATTCTATTATTAAAATTTCTTAAGTTATCACTTATAAGTTTGAAATGGTTTCAGGAACAATATTGTTCATTATCCTACTTATGTTGAGACGTCTTTGATTTTGTTATATTTTTTTTTTTATAAATTTCCACACAGCATTTGCCAGGAATTTGCTCTGATTTTTAGGCAAACAATAATTTTATTTTGAACTTTTACAACATAAATTATTTGAATTTTGAAACCAAAATTATTTTTCTCATGTTTTGAGTAATTTCAAGAGCATTCAATTTTTAGCACTTGTAGTTCCTGAAATACTGATCTTTCGGGTAACTCATAAAAAGAGTGCTCTTGTCCTGCCGGTCCAATTTGAATTCATTGAATGGCGACAAAAGAACTTCATTTTCTTTTGAAAACTCTGAAAAGATGATGATCTCCGCTCCTACCAAATCTTTGGCTTCGGTGACGTTGAACTGCAGGCGGGTTCCTGGCCTTCCACTGAGGGAAACTTTAGTTAATATTTAAAAATTGGTTAACGTGAGAATTTGTTTGGAGAATTTAAATGTTTTAAGTTAAATTTTTCCATCTGCCTGAAATTTTTATTCAAATTTGAAAATGTAACTGGTAATTTGCTAACTGAATTTGTTTGCAACTGTGCTGTCAGGAGTGGTGGATGTGAAGGTCTTGAAGAAGAAACTTTTGTTGTCAGGTAGCGTAAATAAATCTGTCAAACCTTTAAATATCGTAGATGAAATTTTTTTATTTATTTTCCAAAACACGTTTCGCCGGTTTTTACATTTTTCATCAAAGTGCCTTGACTAACCCCTGAAGAGAAAGGTTGTTTTCAATGGTTTTTGCAAGGACTGCAGGGCTTGCAACAAGAGGGCATTGAACACGCGGTACTGATCAAATTTCCCTGAAATCATTATTTTAACGTATACATCTGTCAACATAAATTTCAAGTTTTAAAGTTAACGTTCAAAATTTGAAAAACGAATATCTAAAAAGATTAAAGAACAAATCTAATGAAAATAAGACGATTGTTGGAAAAAATTGAACGTGTTAAATCATGAGTACAATAATTCATAAAAATTTAATTTTTTGTCATGTCTTTAGAACATTCCTAAGTACAAAACTAGAAGCAATATCTTTCGAAAGTCAGTATTAAAAATTGATGAGACCTTTCCTGAGATCGGCGTTGAACTTGTTAGCAAACGTTGTGGAGTACATGGTCAGCGCGTAACGCTTTCCTGCTGAGATGACCTTCTGGTCCTGTTTTAATAATGTTGTGTCCAAATAAAAGTTATTTTTAGTTCCTGTATGAAATATTTTTAATAAGCTTAAAAATTTGTATATTTCAAGATGGATGTGTTTAAATGCTAAAATTGATTTTCAATTATTAAAGTGTGAATGTACATTAAAGTCCTCAAGAGCGAGATCCTAAAAACAGGACAGTTAGAGTAACGGAACTCTTTTTTATGTTAAATTACCCCTAGTAAAGAGCGTGCATTTTGAAGTAACGACATACGGACAGGCTCTTTGGTACAAAATGACTTTAAAGTCATAACGAGCGAAAAATTTATAACCAAATATTTTTTATCATTTTATAAAAATGTGCTAACAAAACTTTATTATTCTTTGGTTCGGTGTTCAAAAAGTTTTTTTTCGTTTTATTTATCGTGATCTTGTTGTTTTCGTCGTTAATAAATTGTTCATCATCGATAACGGCGTTGCTAGTGAAAAATTGTTCACTTGTAAAGAAAAAATGTTTGTTGCACAGAGATGGGCTTGATAGCTTTGCAGGATATTATGATTATGGATGACAACGACAGTTGGATCCATGCGCCATCGTCTACTGAAAACGTAATTATATCTACAACGAATGCATTATAATATGCCTGGAAACTAACATATCATTCAATTATTAAATTATTTAAGCAATGATGAAATGTTTAAATTTTCTGAATGCAGTGAAAATATTTTAGAAAATGAGTTATTAAATGCTATTTGTAATGCTAAATATACAACCGTCAAAAATTTTTGGCTAACTAAAAATGAATAAAAAGACTTATTTTGTTTTACTTGTAAAAGCATTATTCGACTTTTATAATCATGTTGAGTCATCAAGAGAGGACAGATCAGAGAAGCGGAGAGTTTCCCCGCTGTGTCCTCTTTTGAAGACTTTTACTCTATATTGAAAATAGCGGTAATTTTTGACTAAACTAAATGATATCACGAACCTCAGTCAGTTTTTCGTATTTCTTGGCTGCAACGTCGTAAGATTCACACATTGTTTTTGTCTACAAATTATAGATGTTAAGCAGTCAATCTCCGACAATAAAAAAAAACGAATCAGGTCAAATTTATTGAAAGTACAGTCAACTTCAATATCACAAATATTTCAACATCGTTACATTTTGAAACGTTTGAAATGAATTTAAAATTTATTTGAATAAAATTTGTGTACATGCAGACTTACAGATTGGTTGGGTCGTTTCTTTTCAGCGTTCTCAGGCCTGCAAGCTTCTTCTTTCAGCTGTTTCAACTCATCATTCTCATCCTTGAATTTCGTGTTGGCGATTTCGCAATACCACTTTTGGAACTTGTCAAAGTTTGGATCATCTCTTCTGAAGACATCCAACATTTCTCCTTTTGGTTTCTGAGCAGCTCCTGTTGACGTGATCGCGGCTTCAACCTGAAGTGCCGGGAGGAGTTGGACAAAGAAGATGCAACAACCCCAGTACAGCATCAACATTGGAGAAGACATCCTAAGAAAGTTCTCTATCTCTTACTTCAAGTTTAATCTAACTCTTGTTCTGGCTGTATCTATCGAGATTTTTCGATGAATTTTGCAAAATTTTAAAATTTCAAGAATAAAAATAATCAAATTTGATCAGTTGTGAAATTTAGACAATTAAATAATAATCATTAAATAATAAAAATTAAGACATATAATAGAGTTAAAGATAACCTTGCAAATTGCAAAAGTGTGGCGCGTTTGCAATTGGGAGAACTTAACTAAAAAATTCGAACAATAAATATCGATGGATAAGAAAGAACACGTAAACACTGAACATATCAGCTTGTATTTTTATTTCATGAATTTTTTTCGACTAAAACATTACAAGTCTGGCGCAAGTCTGTGCTCCCATGTGACCAGAAAAATAATATAATAAATCAGCTTAATTAATTAATCAATTAAATACATTAATAATTAATTAGTATTAAAATTTATAAACACAAGCAAAAAAAAAACGGATAAGCTCAATTGAATTGTTAATGACATATCCCTCCTGTTAATTATCGGCTATGTGTGAACAGTAAAAAAAAGCATAGAAATCGAGAAAACATAAATCTCCAAAACATTTTTCAAGTGACGATTAGTTGATAATTTTACGATTCGTAACGTCTTTTTGCCGTCGTATCATACAAAACTAAAAAAATTAAAAAATTAATTATCACTCGAGTGGGAATCAATGATAAATTAAAAAATTAATTAACAAGAGATAGAGTGCGAAGTAAAATAGCTGGATGATTTAATTAAAAATAATATTCTTTTTGCTGGACAAATTAAAGTATTTCAATTTTTTAAGTAAAAAAAAACGCAAGAAGAGTTTAATAATAGTTAACAAATAACTAGAACTTTAATTCATTTTTTTCAAGTGGATGAACGAAATATATTAGTCTCATTAAATACTTACTATCTCCTCCATTTTACTTGAAACACGCACAGTTTGCAAGAAATTATAGTAGTCATTTATATTTTAATAGTCACTTTTATAATTAATTTATAATTAATTTATATATATATATTTTAACTTTCATTAATATAGTAGACTTTAATCCGCCGAAACCGCCTTTGAAAACCCGAAGTCGAAATTTTAATTGGAGTGAAAACTTTACTAAAAAAGTGAGATAGCTCGTATCCGCAAAATTCTTTTTATTGCTAGGAGACAATATGATGGTCTGGTCGATTATATCGTTCTATTCGTTTATAATACAGTGAAAGTCCTCAAAAGCGAAATCCTTAAAAGCGGATAGTTGAGAGTAACGAAACTGTTTTGCACTTTACATTGTACTGTACTCTCTCCCGCCCTATATATTTATAACATTATGTTGGTATACGATATTGAACAAAGAGCAATAGATGATTGAGAACGATCTACAATTGTTGAGAACATAATACCCATACAGAAAACTGTTATAATCAAATCGTGATAAAAGCATTTTTTTTGACAAATTTTTTATTTCGGATTCATTGAAATTTTGAAATTTTTTGAAATTTTAAAGGTCAATAAAAACGTTACCAAAGATAAATAAAAAAAATATAGAGATTGCTTGGATCCAGAACAAGACGATAAAATTAAAACACTGTAGAACTCCATAACATTCTCAACTTATGAGAACAACCAATCATAAAAGTACTACTTTATCCAAAATTGGTACTCATTCCTGCTTCACTTTTCTTTCCAGGACATCTTTGGACCATCCACCAACGATCATCTTCTCCATCTTAACCTTCACCACAATAACCAAACCTCACCACCATAATAACCAATGTTTCAGAAAGCAACGAATGCTCACATAGATGAAATATTTTTATTTTGAAATGCATCAGCATCTTTACAAAACTCAATATATACAAATTTATGAAATGGGAAAAAAAATGTAGCTGTCCAAACAAAATATGTAAAATATAAAATTGAAATTACTACAACAGAAAAAAAGCAATAACAAAGACATTAGATCTAAACACCTCGATGGCTGCTACAAATACGGGACTAAAGAACAAAGAGATGAGATAATTGAGTAAACAAACAAATGCACAAGCACTCCCTAGAAAGACAACATCGTCGTTAGTATACTGAAATATGATTCAAGAGAATACTGCAATATCACCATCAGTTTGTTTGTTTGTTTGTTTGTTTATAGGAAATGAGTGGATGTCGTTGTAGGAAGAGAAACCAAGCACCACCCACACCAATCTAACTCAACAAGCACTTAAGCAGCTGATGCATTCGCAAGACACACACACGCACACTCACACACACACAAACACACACACATGTATACACGCAAATATATACAGAGACACAACCAACAAAGCAACAGGTAATCATCATGAATGGGCCGCACCATTGTACGTGAACGGGTTCTTCATGGCGATGAGGGCCTTCCAATCTTCAGGGTCCCTGATGTTGTGGGGCACCCTCACAGAGTTGTAGTACAAGTTGTTGTACGTGTAAAAGTCTAAATTGTAGAAATCTAAAGCCTCCTGCTTGATCATAGTTGGAGGTATTTTATAAAATACCCTTGATACTCCTTCAGTACACAACAGTCCAACCGAGTACGCATTCGAAGGGGGAACAGACATATTGTTGATGACGTCAGAGAGTTGAGACTTTGACAAAGCCCGTAAGCTGTGCTGGAATGCCTTTGCAGAGCCGATGTTCACGAAGGCTCCTGATATGTTGAGGATGTCGGTTGCCATGGAGATCTGTGTTGGGTTGAGGTTGGGTGGTTGGCAGGCGTCATTCGTTGTGTGGCTGTTGTTGTTGCCGGTGTTCGAGCTGCTGTTCATGTCAATTGGAGATAGGAACTGTAAGGAATGGTTGTTAATTTCATTGACTACAATCATCACTTTAGATAAAATATCACTAAATTATTGCTGGATTTAACAAATTAACTGATACAACACATTCATTGAAACAATAGAATGTAAGATTTTTTTAAATATATGTACCAGCAAAGACAAAATAGTGAGAGCAAAAAATTGTTTTACTGGATTGTTTGAAAATTTTGATTCAGATTTTGCAAACAGCATGAAACAAATTTCAACAAAGTTGATTGGAGCAACTAATTTTTAAAATATATTTTAAATAAACTCTAATGAGATGACTTAAAAAAAATAACCCGACCTTTTCGACCTTGACATTGATGTGTGGGTTGTTGTGACCCTGGTATGTGCTGACCCTTCGGTCATGCGACAGAACTGTTGATCTAAGTTTCAATTGATTCTTGTTGCTGTTGTTGACGTCACTGACGTTTTCGTTGAAACAGGAGGTTAGTAAGTTGTCATCGAAGATTTCACTTTTGATCTCAGCTAAATTTCCACAGATGAATTCTGTGAGGTTGTTGAGGTGATTTTCAGAATGTTGTTGATGTTTTTGTTGTTGTTGATGTTTTAGTTGTTGATGTCTTTGTTGTTGTTGTTGTTGTTTGGATGATTGAAGACAGGCTTCATCTGGAATGAAGGTTTTGCTAAAATTGTTTTTCCCAAACCCCACGTTGTTGTTGTTGTTGCTGCAGTGCTGTACTTGTTGATTGTTGATGTAGTTTTCATTCTCATTCATTGAAACATTGTTGTCGTGAAGATGATCGCTGTTGACGTTATCATTATTTCTACGTCTCTTTTTAGATGGAGTTTCTGAGTCGCCACAGGAATAAAAAAGTTTATCTGCACTGCTTTTGCTACTCTTGTCAATTTTGTTGATGTAATTGTTGCTGTTAATAGAAGAGTTGTTTGAATGCTTCACATTATTATCATTAATATCATTTTTATTAGTATTTTTATTTTGAAATGTGTCAACATTCGTGCCAGATTTGTTGGCATGTTTACTGATGGTCCCATCAGGTTTGTTGCTACAAGCAGCAGTTGTACCTGTCACGGTTAGAATTGAACCAGAACTCCTGCTACTTTTGGTACTGGCATAAATGGAAGGACATTTTTTATTACCTTGGCTGTTAGTGCTATCATCTTGCTTGCTTTCTCCATTGATGATACCTTCATCTCCGACATCATTGTCTTCATTGTCATCCTCATTTTGATGTTTTGCATCATTAGTTTTGTCTATAATCTCAACATTACTGCCATCGTCTTCATTGTAATCATCATTGTAACTATTTTCTATCAAACTACTTTCATCATGAACATTCAACACTGAATCTTTTTCTGATGAAAAATGTGAATGATCACCATCAACCAGATCTCCGTCCTCCATTTTGTTATCAAAACTTTCTTTTATGCTAATGAGGAAGACATCACTGCTGTCCAAAGTTACCCCAATCAAGGCCTCGACACTGGCCTCCATCTTGTATGGCAAGCTGCTTTTGCACAGAAGTGTTATGGCCTCTTCTAGGAGCAGTTTGAACTTTTGTTGTTGTATTGTTAGGACCATTTTCCTGGACAGTGAAAATAAAATAATAAATTGTTAGAAAATGAAATGAAGTTATTAAAATTGTCAAAATTAAATATAAAAATTCATTTTTAGTCATTTAATTAAGTCTTAATTATTAAGAAGAACCTACCTATATAATTTTCTAGATGGGAGTACCATAATGCAGTACAACTTATAACATGGGAGGTTAAAGGTTCAAAATTTTAATTTGATGTAAGTAATCTAATTTTATATTTCAGATTTTAAATGAACTTGAGAATGCTAACTTAAATAAGAAAGAGGTAACTCTGTGTAATACATGACTATGATTTTATTTTGATTATTTAAAATTTAAATTTCAAATTGTTGAAACATTCAATTTTCAATTTATTAGTCTATAAATAATTTATTTTATAATTTTTTATCTTGTAAAAAAAAATTGTACAACATTTTATTGTTATTCCTACCTTTAATTTAATTTTTAATACAAAATAAAATTAATTGTACAAGAAAATGTTGTAATTCAGAGCAGCCTTACTACAACCACATACGTATAGCTTATACATTTATATTTTATTTATTTAAATTTTAAATACAAATTTAAAAAATTTTGAATTCAGAATGATTGTGAAAACTAAATTTTAAAAAATAATTAATTTTAATTTTTAATACTTACCTGATGGATGCGATGGATGAAACTAAATAATTTACAGAATAAATTAAATTAATAAACAAATTTTAATTAAGTTTATTCAAAATTATAAAATTGACAATGTGTAAAATAGTTAAATCTGAATATAACAAGAAACAAATAAATCAATAATCGGTGATAAAAAGTGGAGACTCGTGTTTACATATTCGGAAGGTTGGATGAATGGCTGAATGAGTGTGTCAGTGATTTAGCGAGGTGATGATTCACTTCTTTTTAAATCATAAATTTTTCAATATAAATGTTTTTATTAAATACACGTTTTAATGTTGAATTTTTACGTTAAAACAGTTATTAAATGACGTTTAATTTTGCTAGCAACTGTTCAAAGTCTTGAAATTCAAAATTTATAAAAAATTGAAATGCTATCAAAGACACTAGCAACCATGGATATTATATATATCCCTGCTCATTGAATTATATATAATTATATAATTCCAAATTATATAATTCCATGTCCCTGCTAGCAACCTAGCATAACGAGGTTTAAAAGTTTAGCAGTTCTAAAAAATTAATTCATTTTGCAAATTTTGTGCCAATTTTAGTTCCTTTTTGAGACTCTTTGTAAATTTGTTAAAGTGACAAGTTTTCTCTATACCACAGTTTCCTAGCCTAATAAAAAATAAGCATCATATAAAAATGTTAAAATAAAATAGATCGTGTTTTGTGGAGGTCGATGGTCTCCAATGTCCTGAAAGGATAAGGCACGAGAAAGAAGTCTTGAGTGTTGTCATATATTTTTTCGTTGGTCAAAACTTTGAAATTTTTACAAATTAACAAAGAAAATGCTTAAAAAATTACATAATTCGGACGACATGAATTCAATTTATACCTGGGGCGGTAATCAATCATGAATTTCGATACCTTAATGGAAAATGGCACACATACGTGATATGCAAATTGCCCGTTAAGTCCAACTTTATTTCAAACATGTGTTAAATTTTTAATTTTCATAAAAATTAAATATCTTATTTAAAGTTAAATGGTCAAATGTGACATTGTTCTTCGTTTCTGTTGATATTTCTTTCACTCTTAGCCGTATATTGCTACTATTGCTCTCTCCTTTGGTTTCTTTGAAATTATATTAAATTTAATATAATAAAAGCTATTTTTTACATTTCCGTACATTTATAATTATATAATGAAAATTATTAAATAATTTTTAAAAATCTAACATGTGTATAATCTCAACCCAAAAATGTCAAATCAAATGTTTATTTATTTTAGTAGTAAAATAAAATAAAATCTCAAGTGTCAGATATATTTTTCTTAAAATAGAAGCCTACAAATTTTTTTTTCGTCAATGATTGATGACATAACGTAAAAAACTGAAGTGAGCATGTTGAGCATGAAGTGCCAGAGATTTAAATAAATTTTGGAAGAAGACAATGCAAATGGAAAACGCATTTTTTAATCCAAATTAATTAAGTAAATGGAAAAGAAATTATATTTTTTCTTTTCCAACCATGGATTTTCCAACTGCAGTTTGCTTCATAAATTTAAAATCTATGCATCAAAGTTTCTCAATTGTGTTCACCGTTTGCTGCAGACGATTTGGTGGCTTTTCAATGTTTGGTTTCGATCATTTAATTTTTAATTTATTTGATATAAAATTTAAATTATAAATTAAATATAGCATTACATTGAATATAAGAGCAATAATTGAGGTTTAGCAAAAATATTTTGGCTTGTTTTCGAGTTAGTTTTTTAATCTTATAATAATATAATTGTGAACCTATTAAATTTAAAAAGATTCATTGATTAAATTAAAAATTAAAATATTTACAATTTTGAATTATTTACTTCTTAATAAATTTTATAATTAAATGATTAATTGAATGAAATTCCATCCAGATTTGCTTTAAAAGTTTAACTTGAATTACCATGGAAACTGATTTGAATCCCATAGAACAGCTCACAAAGTCAGTGGAAAACTCTAAAAAAGAATTTAAGGAACTGAAGGAGGAATTGCTGAAAGTAATTTTTTTAAAATTTGATTCCAATTTGAAATGGGTTTTCCATCTTATTCATTGTATAAAAAACTTTTTAACTACCTTTAATGAATTATATTCTGAATGCTATTAGCTAGCCATTTGGTTTTTAATTGTTTTTTTTCAAATGATCGTTGAGCAGAAATGTATGGGTAATAAACATAGGAATTTAAAATAAGCCATTACAATAATTAGGTTACAAATAGCACATGCCCTAACAAAATTTGTTCTTATTACTATTAGAAAAAGAAAAACCAATTAGAAGGCAATATAAATTAATGTATGCATTTCATTATATGAAATGTGTTGTTCTGTGATATTAAAATTCATTATGTAGTTCTTTTATAATTCTTTGACAATCATCATTTTGAAACTAGTTTGTAACAACATTTTTAAAATAAAATGTTTTGTTTTTAAGACAATTCCAATAGACTGAATTTATTCAATATTATGATTCACGATAAAATTTTATTTATTATATGAAATTTTAATGATTTTTTAACAACTATTACAGCAAAGAGAAAAAAGAATTCAACTTGAAAAAAAACTGGCTGCAGCCCAAGAAAGAGTTTTAGAAAAGAGATTAAACAAAAACTCAATAGAGAAAGTCTTACTTGAAAGAAAGGCTGAGCTGGAGAATGCAGAGTTAAATGTGGAGAAATATGAAAGGATTAACCAAGAGAAAAAGAAAATAGTTGAAAACTTGGAGAAGACTGTATGTTCCAAAGTGTTTGCTTGTTATCTTGAGTTATATTAATTATTTATTTTTGACATAGATTGCAGAAGAAGATGAAAATTTCAAAGCTAAATGCTTTGAGGAAGATAAAAAGTTTGAAGAACTCATGGAGCAATTTAAAGAGTTGAGAAGAACTAGGATGGAAATGTTGGATAATTCTAACTTGGCAAAGCAATTGCAGGATGAATATAATGAGCTTCAAAATAATGTCATTACTCAACGTGAAAAGGAAATTTCAGAGTTACAATCCAAAGTGGAAAACATCAAATTAGGTTGTTTTGCTAATCACAGTCTTAGAATGAATAGAAATAATAATAATGAATTTTGAAATAATAGATCAAAAGATTTAAAATATGCTTTTCAAACTTGATGTATAAATAAAATGTTGAGATATTTAATATGTGATACTGTTAATATTTTGTTGTGATTCAGCACCATTTTTTTTTCAGGGGAGAGTGAGGATTTGCCGACTGATGGAAATGTTTTGAGCATGAAGGAAAAGAAATATGTGATGTACATTGTTGATGAAAATATAAAATATTTTGAAGAAAAGGAAAACGAATTACGTGCTCAGTTAGATGTTCTAAAAAAACAATAATTAATTTAAAATGTGATAACTAAAATGCATTGAAAGAAATAACCTGTTGAAGATTTCCATTCTAATGTTAACATTGGCAACGTGTTTTATCCAGTAAATCATGGGTGGACAAATGACAAATTTTTGCTCCGAGGGCCGCATTGAAAACTATTTTACCTTTGTTGGCGTTTTAACAATCAAACGCCACAGTTTGATTGTTAAAACATTTTGACTTTCCGACTCACCATGACAGCTTAGCTTAGGAAAAACTCAACTTAGCATTAGTTCATTTTGTAGCCATATTTATTTGGTGAAAGATATTAACCCAGCAATATTTTCGCAGAGACGAGGGCAAGGTGAAGAAGGAGCGCTTGCGATTGCAGCTAGATAGTGCGCCGTGAGGGTAGCAAAGTTGGGCGTGGCTCGAGGGGACTGGGTAACCGGGAGAACTAAACTTTTACTTGAAATACCAAATAGTTTTTTAGTCTCTTTGATAGTATTCGATTATTAATTCATATTAAACGTAAGAGAAGCAATGCAGATCAAAGACAAGTATCTGGTGCAATGTATTATTTTTTTTTTAGCAAGTTACAGGAAGTTTGGCTGTAAACAAGCAATGGTGGATGGCAAAAAAGTAGCTAAAGATTAAAATATCAGGAGAATATTTAAACCACCATAATGGATGAGATAAACTTTTAATTAAGATCGCCTGTCATTGGCCTCGACTACAACGGCCAACACGAACTTGTTTTTAATTTCAATCGCATGTCGCAAACAACTCATTTTTTAAAATTTATAAAAACTAACCAATAATATTTTACACTTTAATTTTGTTACCAAATAAATAAATTGGTTAATAAAAAATATTAATTTAAGTAAATTAACTTAATTGCTCATTTTAATTGCTGTCGTGAATTTAAACACCACTGACTAAGGAATTTTTTGACACATTTGAAGTTAGTATACAATATATGTGTATAATCTTATTATATTATATATAATTATTAATTATATATGTGTATAATCTTATTATAATAAGATAATACCTGGAATTCTTTCTTTGTAGCCTCATTTAATAAGCACTTTAATTAATACAATCTGATGACATTGTGGAAGTTAAATAAAGGAGGCGTGGGTTGGCGATGGACCATCCGAGGTAGTGCCCCCATCGAAGATATTTAAAAAATTATTTTTGTACAGTTCTTTTTTAGTATATAATTCTTAAAGGTATCTATACAACAAAAACACATTATATCTAGATTTAATTAAATGCGTCATGGTCAAGAAATCAGACACGTTGCATCAGACAGATCGTTGCATTCGAAACCAGTCATTACAACATCAGCGCCAGGCATCTTAATCATTATACCATTTTGTAAAACATAGTATGCAGTTGATTAATTTAACACGCGGGAAAGAAGCGGGACTTTTTTCGTTAACATTTTGTCTGTTTCTATGCTTCTGAATTGCACTGGTGAAAATTTGTAAAAATTACAGATATGTTAGCATTAAATCTGTTTTTGCTATTACAAATATAATTGAAATAACTCAAATATATATGCAAGAAACAAGTTTTTTTAATAATTTTATCAAATTAGTTTATTGTCCTGGAGATAGGAGGGCCTCCAAAATTAAGGAACCTCTAATAAAGTGCTTATAATGTGATAATATCATAATGTAATATAAACCACATGTCATTTGGCCCTGGCAGTGCCTATCTATTATCATTAGAGTAATTTGATGGCGAGATGGTGTAATGGTTAAAGTGCCTGGCACTGCTGTTGCACAGGCTGGGTTCGTATTTTAATAGATCTTCCGTCTATCCTTATCAATACGTATTATGTGTACATTCATGTGCTCTGTGTGTTTGCCGTTGATACTAAATGAGAAGAAGAAAAAGAAGAAATGAAATATTAATGAAAGAATTGGAAAAGTATTCTCAACTTTTCCAATTTTTTATTCAAGATGAAAATACCAAAATATTTATCAATATTCATAGATAAAACCATGGCAAAAACACCAATGAATCTTGAACAGATTGCCACTTAAATAATATGTAATCGACTTTGTCAAATTAATTTATCACAGTTTTCATTACTGTTTATCATTTCGTTATAAGATAATACATCGTCACACTTGAATGATTAATAAATCACTTTAGTTAAACTAAAGGGCTGTCCATAAAAGATGTCATGCTTTTTAACATTTTTTTTGACCACACCCTCTCCCGTGTCACAAACTGTCACAAATCGACCAACTCCCCAAAAATAAGCATGTCCCAAAACTTTACCACCCACCTCTTAGTAAAGAGCTATTAAACAATGTAATTGTTCTATGCATTTTATTTTTTATTGATATAAAAATAACGAAGGATAAGTTTATATGACGATAGTTTGATATCTAAATGCTTCACCGTAGTTAAAATATAACGAATTAATATTAACTTCTACGCCTACACAGCGGTAAAGTTTTGTTTATAGTTGTTGCTTCAAGAAATTTGAAACCACATTTATTAAAGTTTCTAAACTAAGTAAACATCTCCCTTGACTACTACACGCAATTATCATTTTTTGTTTTCTCATTAAAAATGAATTAGCTAAAATTTTGTAACCGTTAAGATAGAAAGTCGGGCTTAAATAAAAGGGAAAATTATTGTTAAACTTTTCTGTTTGAGGATTTTTTCCGAGTGTGACACAAAAAAAATGGTGCCAACTTTTTAAAAATCCAAACCGCCCTCCACTAAGTAGCAGATCCAGAATTTTTCGGTGGGAAATATTTTTCAAATTTCTAAAATTGATAACTTGTTTTTTTATATTCTAGTTTAATAAATCAATGTAGAAGATTCTAAATAATTCTATGTGAAATACTTAAATATTTTATAAAATCGCCAATATTCCTATATATTGCAGCCTATTATTTTAATCCAACATTTTTTTAAAGCAATAAATTTCTCATCTAATTTTTTCTCATTGAGTGATTTTTCCACACAAGTAACTTCTTTCGTTATGTAAATTCTTAAATTGTAGGATCAAATTGATAAAGCGTCGTTTTAGTACAAAAGCCTCCGTCATAAGTGCAAATATGTCGTTAGCCTCTGTAACTTTCGCAAATTGCAGGCCTAACATGGGATGCGTGCTAAGTCATAAAATTCTGATAAAATATTTGCTTCAATTTCACTTCATTTATGAGGCATCGAGCAACCACACTACTAGTGCATTATTATTTTCACTCAAGCCTGGTTCTGCGTTCGTACGTTGGTGCCTTCTTTATTACTATGCAGTTTTCTTTGCTATCACTCGCTTTTGTTATTGTCACTGTAGCTGAATTACTTGTCAGACATTAATATTTGCTCTTATTTTATTATAAACGAACAGAGACGTTCGTTTCTTGCCATGAAAGACGACTCTTTTCAATGGATTGCAACAGCACGTTGTCAAATGCTGACGTTTATTGGTTGATGATGATTTCTAACCGAGTCATAGCCAAATGATGTTACCCGTCCACGACTGCTGTAATTGTGTAGAAGGGTTCTGTGCTATAATTCAGAATTTGTACACTTTTCACGAGCCTCCATTTACAGAAGAGTCGTTCGTGTGCGTTACGTCTGCAGGTCTGTTTCTCGATTAACCACTCTTGTGTTCCACTGTTGTTGTTGTCTTGGTGTCTGTTCGTCTCATGTTTCGTTTCAACAGCAAGTGTTTCTTAGTGTTCAATCGACTTACAGTTTTTGTTAGACTACGGGAAACATTTAAATTGGTTAAGATAACAACGAACGTGAAAATAAATGAACACTAATCCATGTGTGATCATGTTTCTTCCCTGATCTGACATGCAAGTCAAACTAATGCTGCATTAGTACAGGTGCTGGAACCTGCGTCAAAATAGTACGAAACCACGAAGTCGTTTTCAAATTGAAAAAAATTGCCGTTTAAAGGAGTTTATGTCAACACAAAACGCTAAAAATATTAGTTATTAATGGTGGATGCACGCCCATGCATTCACACGTGAATGTTGGTAAAGAGTGTACTTGGTGTGACATAGTATTTTGAATCTGTATAGGTAATGAAAATTTGGTGATGAGCGCTTTGTGTCTAAATGTGATTAAAAATTTTCAATGCAATATTCATGTTGGATATTACATATGCTCTCTGAATAACACTATTCAATGCTCGTTAATTATAACAATATTTAAAAAGCAAAAGCACGAAAAGTGAAAATAACAAACTAAGAAGTTGAAAATTTCTAAAGCAAAAACTAATTTATATTCAGGAGAAATATTACGGAATGCAAAATGATGAAAGGGAAGAATAATAAAGGGGGAGAGATTGTTCAGTGCATCTATCAACGCCCGCAGATTCAAAGCAGAGGATTAATAATATATTCAGGCGACCACGGACGCAGATAAGTTCATATTTGCTGAAACGGATTTTTTTTTGTAAAAAGAAATTACAAACAAATGTCAACCACCTAGATGTGTAAATTCAGTATGTTCTATTCTTATTATGTATTTAAAGGTTTGATATTTATGCTTTGTATTTTTAAAGGCAAATGATGTAACGTTTTTTTGCTGGATGATTACGTGTCAACGAGTTTCTATGTAATTATCTCGTGTTCGTTTGGTGATGTCGCGTTGTATTCATTCATCATTATTTTGTACCTGTTTCAGCTGTTTCAGAAGATAATTTGAGAAATAGTAAACCAGAAAAATTACGTACATTGATTTTTTAATCATCGTATTCATGACTTTTTGAAAACTGTATATATAAACCAACATGCCACAAACATTACACAATAATTAAGTAAAAATTGAGATGAATGAAAAACCTACTAAAAATAGATTTCATAGATATTTTTGAACAAAATAACAGTGTTTTATGTCCGGAAATATATATCGTTATAATCAAAATTTCAATCATAAGCATACCATTCATTTTTTAATTTGGGTGACATCATCGTCGGTTTACGTATGTCATCATATTGTTATCATTATTTTTCACATGATTCGTTTTATTTTAATTACAATAATTTCATTTCCTCATCATCGTCGTCATCAGTATGTTGTATTCATTTGAGGTTAACTATGCTTCATAGTTTTTATTTGTCTAAATCATCATTGTATATTCATGTTACTTTTTAAACTATTTTGATTACCATTACTTTGTTATCGTTACTTACTAGCACCATTCAATATTTTGTCATTCTAATCATATACATAATAATCGTTAACTATATCATATTTCATGAATATCACTTGAACATTTTACGTGTCCTGTGATCACTTCCCTGTCAACATCCTTCACTTTCATTTTCATATGATATGATCGTTATTCAACCATTGGTTTATTCATTTATCACACTTATTTTTTTGAAAAATCATTATATTTTAATCACTCAATAGTCT